CCACCGCCCCCAGGAGTATAGCCATGCTCCAATCCCTTCTCTTTTATTCTTCTCTCAGGATTTTGGGCATGCATGCATATGCACCTTGTGTGAGTTTCAAGCCACTGGGTCCAGTACTTGAACCACAGTCTACCAAGTGGGAGTCCAGCACCATTACACCACCTGCTGGTCTCACTTTAACTCTTTAATATCACTGCCAGATTATAACATTTTCTCAATGTCCTACTTGATTTTTTAGATTAAATTAGCAGTAGTAATAGTTCTTTAATCTTTATTTTCTGACTTAAAAAAATAACCATATGTTTCATTTAGTAAGTAAACTTGCTCTTCAAAACACTCCAAGAAGGAGATTGTGTGGGGGTCAAATTACTGTCTTCCTAAAGGGAGGTTTAGGAATGACTTTGCTTCTTTTTCAGAGAAAAATAAGTTGTAGTTATAGAAGTTGTGGCTATTTCATATTACTGCTCAAAAACATGTCCTAATACAACAAACATGTACCAAATGAGGTTTGTGCTGTCTACCAGAGTTAGGTGTCTGTAGACTTTGGACACTTTGAAGACACTGTTGATAAATATCTTAACCATTGTTTTAGGACTACAGAAATAAATAATGGAATGAACATATATGTATACATTATTTGGCTTAAGAAGAAAATAAGCATAGATTCTATGTCTATCAATTACATTCCTTCTTTTTCAAATATAATCACAATCTTTAATAGGTTTTTTCTTTCTTTCATATTTTAAGAACTTTTCAAATAACTATAAACACTACATACTAATATTTGTCACAGTTTGAAACAAAATAGAATAACATCATTATTGCCATAAGTTTTACTCAACATTATTTTTATGATTTGTACAGCTGCTGTTTTCACTGCTCTGAGGTAGCAATTCTACTGCAGTTTATCCATTCTCCGATTGATGGATATTTAGTTGGTTTCTAATTTTTTTTTATATAAAAAATAGTACTGTAGTGAGCATTTTTAGTGCTTATTTTCTTAGGCGAATGTGTGTATTTTCCTGACATTTATACATCAGAGTGGAATTAGTGGATATTCACACTTTTAATGTTGCTACATTTTAAATTCCCTTTAGCAGTCTCATGGGTTTCCTATGGTTAAATAGACATCTCACTCACTTGGCCACACATTTTAACCTCCATCACACTATAATTTATACGATACCACTGATTTCTGTTTGCAGTCCATGGTTGTTACTAAAATTGTGTTTTCTTTTTGCTGAATTTATTGGGGTTTTTTTTGTTCCTTTTCCTCTCTCTGCCTTATTGATTTTATTAGCCTGTGTCATAAAGATGTTGTTTCTATATTTTCTTCTAAAATGTAGTTTTTTTCACATTTAGGTTTTTAAATTCACTTCAAAATTTTCATGTATGTATATGGTACTTATTATTAATAACTTAGTGGAAACTATGTACTACATCTAAAATTAGTTAGCTTTCTTTCTTTTTAATGTTTTTGTGATAAGACACATGTGCTAGCCAGAGACAAAGAGACAGAGAGAGGGAAAGTGAGACACATGTGCTAGCCAGAGACAGAGAGAGGGAAAGTGAGAAACCATGCCCCAGAGGGGATAGCCACGCCTCAATCCCTCCTTCTCCATTCTCCTCTGAGGATTTGGGCACATGTGCACATGAGCTGTGTATGATTTTCAAGCTGCTGAGTCTAAGGGTTAAACCGCGGTTGGCCATGTGAGAATCTATTGCCTTAATCACCATGCCACCTGCTGGCCCCTGGTTAGCTTTCAATAATGTTGGTAGTATTTTAACTTAGATTTTAAGGTAGATGCACTATAAGCATGCTATTTATTAATTTGTATGGTTTGCGTATGAGTAACTACTTAAGATGTAATGCAAGGTTTAATTTTTTTTAAGAGTTTTTTTTCCTTAGGGTGCATGAGTTCGCCCAAGAGAGACAGACAGTGAGAAGGAAAGTGAGAAATCACTCTCTAAGGGAGATGGCCATGCTGTGATCCCGTCTCTATTCTCCTCCCAAGATTTTGGGCACGCGCACATGCATGTGATTTTTTTTTTTTTTGAGAGATTTTTCACTGTAGGGCGCGTGCGCTCGCCAGACAGACAGAGAGAGACATAGAGACAGAAAGTGAGAAATCACCCCCCAGGGGGGATGGTCACGCCGCAATCCCTTCTCCTCCATTCTCCTCTCGGGATCTTGGGCACGCACGCACACGCGCCCGGCGTGAGTTTTAAGCCACCGGGTCCGGGACACGAACCGCGGTCGACTATGTGGGAATCCAGCGACATAGCCATTACGCTAACTGCTGGTTCCCCATGCATGTGATTTTCAGGCCACTAGTTTTGGGATCAAACCATGGTTGGCCATGTGGGAGTCTAACCACACAACTGCTACGCCATCTGCTGGCCCCCAATACAAGGCTTAATTTTAACAACCTATCCTTATGTTACTAATGTGAAGAAATATATATTGTGGTGCTTAGATGGAATGTTTTAGTTCTTTAATGAGAAATTAAAATTCTCTATAAACCAAAACTATCTTCTTTTTTTTAGAAATATTATTCATTATAAAGTTGGATTTTGATAATTTGACAGAAACCTTTTTATAATTTATTAATCTGTGTTCTTTTAAAATTGAAGTCTTTATTTTTTGGCATTTTTTCAGAGTTCTGATTATACAAAATCAGGAGAAATTGATCCTACATCTGTAGCAAGCCCCAAAGACCCAGAAGATATACCAACATTTGATGAATGGAAGAAGAAAGTTATGGAAGTAGAGAAAGAAAAAAGTAAGCTCTGGGATCCTTTTAAAAAAATATGTTTTTATTTAAGGGATTGATTTAAATGTGCTTTCTCTTTTTAATTGATAAAATGAAGCAAAACTTACTTTTGAGGATTTTTTAAAGGTAAAACTTACTAAGATGCTATTGATTACCTATATAGTATATAATTTCTTAAATTTTAATCTTAGTTAAATTTAATTCTTATACAGTAAGTAAGGATAAAGTAAGATGAACAATTCATAGTGATTCTCATCTTAGTTTATAAGAGGAAAGTTGAAGCATGAAAAGTTTTGAGTTATAAAGCTTTAAACTGTAGAGTTGGGACCAGCCCATGTGGTTAAGGTGGCTGGACTCTATATGACTGACTGCTCAATTTGAATCTGTACCCTGCTACTTGAAAAACATGCGAGGCATATATACATGTATACACAAAATCTTGAAAGGAGGGAGAATGGAGAAGAAAGGATTGTGGTGTGACCATGGCCCATGATGGGGTGCTTTCTCACTCCCTCTCTTTCTTCAGCAAGTCACATGCCCTCCAGCATATATTAAAAAAAAAAGCAACAACTGAAAGTTGGACTAAAGTATTAAAGTTTTCTATTGCTCTTGTGGAGTATGTCTTCAAAGTTAAGAATTCTTAATGTTCTACTTACAGATAGAAAAATAATATTCATCTTTAATAGAATAAAAAATATATATAGAAAGCTTTGATGCTCATAGACAAGCTTCATTTCGTGAGTAATATTACTTAAAGCATAAAGCAAGCACAGATGTGAGGGTCCCTTAAACCAAAATGCTTGGGACCAGAAGTGCTTCAGGTTTCTTTATTTTTTATTTTTTTTTTGTAATTTTGGAATATTTGCACATACATCATGAGACGTCCTGGGGACCCACGTCTAAACATGAAATTCATTTACATTGTTTATACACCTTATAAACATAGTCTAAATGTAGTTTTATACCATATATTTGTATTGCAGCATTTTTCTAACTGTAGTTTTATACAATATATGTGTATTGCAGCATTTTGACTATGATCTTTCATGTGGTCAGGTGTGGAATATTTCACTTGTGTTATATCAGTGCTCAAAAAGTTTTGGAATTTAGAGCACTTTAATTTTGCATGTTCAGATTAGAAATGCTTAATATATAATGTAGATTTTTCTAGTTAATTTGCTTATTGGGGCTATTTTAAAGCTATTAAGATAGAGTGTTTCTGATTTCTTAAAGATTTAAAAAATATTAAGCATTAAAACCTATTCTTCAGCATGTAACCTACTGCTTTTGAGATCATTGTATTGCTAGGAGCATTTTCAATTATAATCATCATATATGTATGTTTATAATAAGGTTTGTCTACAGGTCAGTCAATGCATCCTTCTTCTAATGGAGGTCCACATGCCACCAAAAAAGTCCAGAAAAATCGAAATAATTATGCCTCGGTAGAATGTGGTGCCAAAATTTTGGCAGCTAATCCAGAAGCCAAGGTACTTAAGTATAAAATTTGTTTTTACATATGGAAAACTAGTGACTTTGTGAAATATAGACAGTGGTTTGTTGGGAAGTATATTTTAATGTGGGCCATTGTTTGAATTCATAATAAATGGCAGGAGTATGCCTTTCTTTTCTTTTTTTTTTTTTTTTGAAGAGGTTTTTGCTACAGGGTGTGTGCACTCTCCAGAGAGAGACAGAGAGACAGAAAGTGAGAAATCACCCCCCAGGGGGTGGCCACGCCACAATCGTTTCTCCTCCATTCTCCTCTCGGGATCTTGGGCATGCACACACACGTGCCCAGTGTGAGTTTTAAGCCACCGGGTCCGGGACGCGAACCACAGTCGGCTACATGGGAGTCCAGTGACATAGCCATTACACTAACTGCTGGTCACAGGAGTATGCCTTTAAATACATTTTTCTTGGTATGAATTCTTAGAGATATTGATTGATACATCATATCCTGTTTTTTTAACTTCCAAAACCTATATGAAATTTTAGAGAGGAAATACCTTATAGATTATTTTTCTTTATAGTGGCAGTTACTGAATTTCAAATGTATCATTATAAGACTCATTTCATGGTTTAGCACTAACTGGTTAATTTTTGCCACTTTTATGCTTTTTTCCCCAAAAATGAGATGTTTTAGTCATTAGTGTATTTTAAGGTCTAAAAGTACAAAAAACTAGAAACTTAAAATATACTTTCACTATTTTATCTGAAGTAATTTATTGCCTTTCCTCTTTTTAAAATAGAGCACATCTGCTATTCTTATCGAAAATATGGACCTTTATATGTTGAATCCTTGCAGCACTAAAATTTGGTAAGTAGTATACAGTTTTTAAAAGTATATCCTATATATGTGCATATTGCATTAAGTTTTTATATTAGAGTTAAATTGATTAGTTCATATTATCTAATAAGTATTCATGATTGATTAGTGCTGATTACTATGCAAAAGTGAGGACTAAGTGCTTTTCCTTTTAAGGAAGTCACAAAACAATAAATGACTTGGTTATACACTTATGAAATTGTATAAAAAGTACTCCCTTTAGAAAGGGAGGTGATGTATGCAACTGGATGAGAGAGCTTTCTGGAAGAAACCTTTTTTTTCTGAGCTGAATCTGGAAGGATTCATAGAAAGTGGCAGATGAGGAAGGCAAAGGTGTCAGGAACTACAAGGATAAGGGGACAGTGCCAAAAGGAGCATATTTCTTCTGGCAACCTGAAAAAGTTCCTTTAGGTATGAAAAGAATAATGGTACAATTAGAGTAGTGACAGATGAGGCTGCATCATTAGTTTGGCTATAAGTGCTGTGTATACCAGCTTAAATTTTTTGAACTTTATCATAATTGTTTTAAGTAAGGAATCTTACCAGCATTTTAAGATGATTTATAGCAGAACGCAGTGGGAAACAGAGAGATCAGGTAGGAACTTATTACTTTAGCTCTGGGGAGAAATGAGGGCTTTACCTAAGGTATTGGTGGTTTGGATGCAGAGGAGAGGAATGTTCCTGAAATACGTTTATAACTGAGAAAATTAATAGCTTTTGATTAGGAATTGGATGCGCAGAATACAAAGGCATCCAGGAAATCTCCCAGGATTTTGGTTTTACTGCTTGGATCTATGGTTCTGCTATTAACTAAGAATAAAGGAAAAGAAACAGATTTGGGGGGGATAATAATGTGAGATATATAATAGTTCTACTAATTACTTGATTTCATTGCCCAAAACTGCTTTTTAAAAAGGAGCCAAGTAAAATCATCACCATCATGCTGATTCATTGAATTAATGAAGTTTGTGTATAGAAATGTGTGTGTGCGCGCGCGTGTGCACACATGTATATGCATGCATATATTCTCTTCCTCTCCTTCCTCTTCCTTCTCGCCTTTTCCTTTTCCTTCCTTCCCCTTGTGCTTCCCTTTTCCTTCTCACACACTTTAAACCTTAAAGACAATGCTTACTCTTTTCTGTTCTTGTCCTTCACTCCTGTTTGGAAATGTACACATTTGGGTTCAACTTTAAAATGAACCAAACTATTTAAAGATATTAAGGGATAATTTTTTTTTTTTTTTTGGAGAGGTTTTCGCTATAGGGCGCATGTGCTCGCCAGAGAGACAGAGAGAGACAGAGAGACAGAAAGCGAGAAATCACCCTCCAGGGGGGATGGCCACGCCGCAATCCCTTCTCCTCCATTCTCCTCTTGGGATCTTAGGCACACACGCACACGCGCCCAGCGTGAGTTTTAAGCCACCGGGTCTGGGATGCGAACTGCAGTCGACTACGTGGGAGTCCAGCGACATAGCCATTACGCTAACTGCTGGTCCCGATTAAGGGATGATTTTAAAAACTTGATCTATAAATCAATTTTGAAAAAAATTATCTGAGATCATAATCTAAGTCTTATTTTGGGGGTTTTCTTTTTATTTATTAAAGCATCTATAGTTGGGGACAACTCGATTTTTATGCTTCAAAATTTTGTATTTAAAGCAGTGATGCTGGGATGAGGTCATACGAGGCAATCATTTTGCTTTATTATGGTTTGCAACATTAAATGTATTCCAGATATATTTAATATATTGAAACATACCTGAAAAACCATCTGGACCTGTTGGAAACTGTTTTAAATTAAGTGTATAATTTTTAAAATAAGTAATATATTCACATCATTCTAACTGACAAAAAATAATTTAGAAAAGGGAAGGTAATTACACAGGGAAATTTCCTACTTCTATCTTATCCACCTTCCTGCTTGTTGTTAAAGTTTTAGATGTCTTTTTGTGTCTTTATACAGATACAAGTAGATTCCTTTTTATCTCCTAATTTTCACAGAAATTAGTATATTATGCATAGTATTTTGTATCCAAACAAGATTTTTGTTGTTGTTGTTTTTTGTTTTTTTTTAAGAGAGAGATTTTTTTTGCTATAGGGTATGTGTGTTTGCCAGAGAGACAGTGAGAGACAGAAAGCAAGAAATCACATTCCAGGGTGATGGCCATACCACAATTCTTTTTCTTCCCTTCTCCTCTTGGGATTTTGGGCATGAATGCATATGCTCCTGGCTTGAGTTTTAAGCTGCCGGGTCCGAAACTGGAACTGCAGTTGACTACATGGGAGTCCAGTGACAGAACTACTACACCGTCTGCTGGTCCCCATTCTGAGTCAGTTTTAACTTCAAGGTATCTTGACCATCTTTCTCTCTTAATCTCCAGAGGGCACATATGCGAGAGAGTGAGAAAGAGAACACAAATATGCACACGATGAGGGTGAGCACTCCCTAACGGGATGTGATTACACTGTAGTCTTTTGTCCTCCGTTTCAGGATTTTGGGCATACACAAACACACACAGCATTTTTTTAAGCTACAAGGGCCAGAATTTTAACTGCAGTTAATAACAATCTGCTCTGTCAGATCTGTCTCCCTATGCACACAGGATTTACCCACTGTATTACGGAGCTGCCCTCTCCTTTTTAAAAAATGTAATATTTCCGTTGAGTAAGACAGATAGGTAGAAAATCCCAAGAAGAACCTTCATGCCATGGTGTACCTGGTGTTTTCAGGTCCAGCCAAGATTCAAAGCCCAGTCAAGCCTTCCCATATTGTTCCAGCATCATGCAGTGGAACCCTGCTGCCTGTGCCATTGTGACTAGACTTCTTGACTATCTTGGTATTTCATTCATAGAACACTCATCTTTCTTCTTGATAGCTGCATAAAATTCCATTTTGTGTTGGTACTGATATTTAACTAGTCCTCTCTTGAGGGATATTTGGGTTGTTTATAATCTTTTGCCATAACCATCAGGGATATTTTTAATAAGCTCGGATGCATCATTTTGTACCTGTATGGGATATAGGAATAAATGATATTTTTCTTTTAACTACTAAAAAGAGTTTATTTTAAAAATTGGCTTTTTTTTTTTTTTTTTTTAAATTTGCTGCAGGGTGTACATGCTCATCAGAGAGAGACAGAGAAAAAGAGGGGGAAAGTGAGAAAGCAGCCCTATGAGGCATAGATACTCAGCAATCCCTTCTTCTCCATGACTCCTTTGGGGATTTCAGGCCCATGGGCACACATCCAGCACATTTGTCAAGCCAGTGGGCCCAGCATTTGAGCCATGCTGTTGGTCATGTAGGATGCAGCTGCCTTAACCATCACAACACTGGCTGACAAATTGTCTGCTTTTAAAAGAAGTAATTGTGAATATTTAGGTTTTGCTATTCTTATTAGTTTTGGCATATTATATTTTTTGTAGGAATTTGTCTTGCATTTTCAAAGTTTTGGATTAAAGTATTTATAATATTTTATCTTTTTCTTAAGATTTTATTTAACTTTATTTATTTAAACTTGATGAGAGAGAGAGAGAGGGAGAGGGCAAGCTGCCAGGTCCAGGACTTGAACCACGGTCAGCCATGTGGGAGTCCAGCACCCTTAACCACCAAGCCACCTGCTGGTCCCCTATTGTTTATCTTTTGCTGTAAAATTCTTTTCTGTAAAAATATTTTCATAATATTGTTATTTATGCCTCCTTCTTTAATCTCTAGATAATTGTCTTTTTGACTTTATTGATTTCCTCTATTACGTCTTTGTTTTCTCTTACATGGATTGCTGCTTAAAACTTCAGTTTTCCACATTTAAAAAAAATTTGAGAGCTCTTTGTTTAATTATTATTATTATTATTATTATTATTATTATTATTATTCTTCAGTTTGACCAGAGAGAGACACAGAGAGAGAAAGAGAGGGTGAGTGAGAAAGCAAGCCACCAGTTCTGAGACTTGCACTGTTGGTTAGCCATGTTGCGAGTCCAGCACTTTAGCCACTATACCACCTTCCAGCCCCAGTTTTCCACATTTTTAAAGTTTAATGAAAAGTGAAGTCTTTTGAACTTTTTTTTATTTCTAATATACATGTTTCCTAATATAAACAGTCAAAGTTATAAATTTACTTTGTAGCCTTTACATTTTGATACATGATATTTCATTAAGCTACTGGTATATTTAGGTCTGTTACTTTACTGGTTTTTGAATTCTTGACCCATAAACAGTTAAGTTTAAATTGAATTTGTTGACTTTTATTAACTTTTAATTTGCACAATGCTCTTTGTTTCTAAGAAAACATAAAAAATGAGGCAGAAAGATAATGAAACACATTTTAAAAATTAGCCAGAGGACATTTGCACTCACTGGGAAGAGACTGAGAAAGCACCCCTCTCCCTCCCCACACCCATGGGAGATGGTGACTCTGCAGTCCCTCTCCCCTCCATTTCTTCTTTTGGGATTTTGGGCACATATGCACACATGCCCTGTATGTTTCTGAGACCTTCAGGCCTGGTATACAAAGTGCCCAGTCAGGAGCATGGAATCCAGCTCATGCCACCACCAGACCACAGGTTGGTCTGTAAGGCTTTTTTAAAAAATCAACTTTAATGAGGAATAATTACATATTTACTAATAATTACATATACACTAATATATAATTACAAATACATACTACATTATGAGGCTATTCATCAGATATGTACATATTTTGGAATTATTACATTTTTCTGGTGTGTTAATAACTCTTTATGCCTGGTAATGCAATTGTCTAAAAACTTACTTGATATTACTGTTATTCGTGTCTTCTAGAAATGGTCAACATAAGTATATTAAAAAAAAGGGCAGGAGGGAATTGATTTTATTTTCTTGTTAATGTTGCTTCTTAGAATTATTTTCTCCATTGTTAGTAAAAAGCAAAGTCTGTGTCTGATTTTCTTTAGTCCTCCTCCCACAAGGATATTGTGGTGGTATAAGAAATGTTCAGGCTTTGGAGCCAGACAGATAATAACTTTAGCTTTACTCTATTGAATAAATGAATGCTAATTAGGACTTTTGATTCTGATACTGTAACAGAGACTAAATCACTGGTTTAAATAAGGTACACATATAATTTTATTTTTTGTGATTAAAAACCCAAGCTAGCAGTTGATGCAGGGGTATAGCAGAACAGTCATAGGACCTGCATACCTTCTGTCATGTTTCTTTCCTCTCCTCTAAGGTATTGTCACTGTTGACATTGGAGAGGTGATTCATCCTTACTTACACTCTCATTCCAGCCCCTAGGGTGGGAGGAAGTGAGTGAGAGCGGTCAGCATTCTTTTGAAGACTTGATTTGGAAGTTGCGCTTGATACTTCTGGTCATATCCCATCACCCTGAACTAAGGAATGTGGCCAAGACTAGGAAATAGAGTCTTTGAGGGGCGACTGTGTGTTCAGCTATATCTGGAAGATTCTGTTATTAAAAGGCAGAGGGGAAAATGTAAAATAGACAATGAGTATTTGTTGAATGGTTCTATAAAATAGAGATGATATTCTTTGCAATTTGGTTGTAAGAATTAAAGGATGGTTGTAAATCATATAATATGGCATTCAACAAATGTTAGAGTTTGTCTCTCTTCATTTGCATTTCTCTGAAACCTGATTATTTTAACCATCTTTTAGGACTTTTGTCGCTTTATTTGCGTTTAATTGTCAATATATATAAAATCTCATTTTATTCTAATGGTTTATTAAAGCAGTGTTTAAAATGCTAGATTTCGTGTTTCTTTTCCCCAAATATCATGCTATATGCAGTTCTATTTTATACACATGGTACTAGTTATATCTTTTCCCTAAGTAGCAATATTTTGCGGCATCTTTCCTTATTGATAAATATAGATCTCTAGCATCATATTTTTAAAAAAACAGCTTTGTCAATATGTTTGACGTACAATAAACTGCATGTACAGTTAGCTGCAGTATGTCAAAGTATACAATTTGATAACTTTTGGCCTTTGGATATCTGTCATTACTAACACCGCAATAAGAAATGACCATATTTGTCACTCCCAAAAGTTGCCTTAGAGCCCTTTGTGATTTCTCCCTCAAACTCCCCTCCCCCAGTAATAATTACAGATTTGTTTTCTATTAATATCAATTAGTTATGTCTTCTAGCTTTTTACATAAATGAAATTGTAGTCTTTTAGTACTACTTTAATGGCTGTTTAGTATTTCATTGTTTGGGTGGACTATAATTTCATAATTTGTTAACCAATTCTTCATGCTAATTATTCAAGTTGACCCTGGATCTAAGATGTGCTTTGATAAAGTAAAATGTGTATCAAGAGTAGACATCTGGAGCCATGTGTCCTTAAGATATATTTTAAGAGTGTATCACTAAATCAAAGACTGTTACATTTTAGACAATACTGCCAAACTGTCCTCTAAACTAGTTATTTTACGCTATCACAGGTTGTTCTTAGTAAAGTCATTCCAGCTCCAAGAATGGGCCCTGTTATTAAAACAAAATAAAAATCTGTTCAAAAATCTGATGGAGCAAAATCAGTGTTTCTTCTATTTACAGCCCCCCCACCACCCACTAATGATGTGCCAGGGTAATTCTTAAAGGTATTCCTTATAGAGAACTCAGGCTACAAATCCTCTTCCTTCTTAATTTTTTAAGGAATAACTTCTAATGAAAATCTTATAGATGCAGACAGTTAATGTAATTTTTAATATGAATGGTTTAGGTTGGTTTATCTAAGTAATTGTCTTGTGTTCTTTTTGTAGGTTTGTTATTGAACTTTGTGAACCAATTCAAGTAAAACAGCTTGATATTGCAAATTACGAACTATTTTCTTCTACTCCTAAAGACTTTCTGGTTTCTATCAGTGACAGGTAAATTCTGAAGCTATTTTCTATAGGGTCTATTTTGTATTCCTGTAATAAAAATTTTAAAATGGGTCACTTTCACTTCAATCATTTTATTTTTATTTGAATGTTTATAATAATAGTACTACTGAATTGCATGCTTTTATTAATCACTTTACTTTCATTCAGTCATATAATGCTTAAAACATAACTACTTTATGGTATTATTCTCTTATGAGATGAGGAAACAGACAGAGGAAAGTTAAGTATTAATAGCTTGCCCAGATCATATGACCTGTGAGTTGGGGAACCAAGATGCCAACTTAGAACTGTATAAATTCAGAATTCTTACTTTTAATCATTATACTCTTAGCACTTCCAAACATTTCTTTAAAAATGTAATTGAAAACATACATGTACAAATGGTTCATTTTGTATCATGAGGTATATTTGTGTTCAGGTATATTTTAAAACCTTTTTTTAATGTGTGTGATGATAAAAGAAACAAAATATGTTGTAGAGGATTGGGAAAAGAACTGTATTCTTATCAACCAAAGATGAGCATTATTAGCATTTCAATATAATCCTCTTCAGCCTTTCCTATATATTTATTTATTCAACACAGAAAACATATTTACTTTTTAGTTTTTACATCCTAAGACTACCTTCCTATCTAGTAAATATACCTTACGTACCATTTCTGATGACTGCATAATGTATTTCCCTCTGCAGAGATGTTTAAATTATTCCATAAATTTTTTTTTATGAGAGATTTTGATATAGGGCACATGTACTTGCCAGAGACACAGAGAAATAAAGAAACTGAGAAATCATCCTGCAGAGGGCATGGCCACATGCAATCCCTTCTCCTCCATTCTCGTCTCAAGATTTTGGGGATGCACACACATGCACCCAGTGTGAGTTTCAAGCTGCCAGGGCCAGAATTCGAACTCCGTCAACCATGTAGGAGTCCAGCACTGTAACCATTACACCACCTGTTCCTCCCTCCCCATGAATACTTTTTGAGTACTACAGTAGCATCCTACACAGTCATGATGTGCCATGTAGGAGGCTATTTTTTTATATAACTATTTTTCTCTCTTCGATTGCTAGGGTTTTCCATAGTGTTTCTTCCTGTAACTCACACTCAGCATGGAATATATATAGGTTCTTAAATCAGTTCTCAAGATCTCAAATGACATACACAGCTCTGACAACTAAACAAGTATTATAGATAGTTTTTTATTTTTAATGTAAGAAGAGGACATTCATTATGTTGTGGAATTCTTCAAATGATGCAGTAACAAAAATAATAGCTTTATTCTTTTATATTAGATTTCCTTTTAAGAGAAACACCTATGTAAGATATGTCCAATTCAAACATGACTGTAATTTTTTTAAAATTAATTTTCTTGTTCACTTTCTACCAATACTGGTATTTATATTTTACATCAGCATACACTTATCAGTATGTGAAAAGTCTACCTTCTTCTTATAAGACAATCTCTTGGCCTCTTTCTGTTTTAAAACCTGTAGGGGGACCAGCAGTTAGCATAATGGCTATGTCGTTGGACTCCCATGTTGTCGACTGCGGTTCACGTCCCGGACCTGGTTGCTTAAAAAACTCATGTCGGGCGCGTGTGCATGCATGCCCGAGATCCTGAGAGGAGAATGGAGGAGAAGGGATTGCGGCGTGGCCATCCCCTCTTGGGGGTGATTTTTCTCTTTCTCTCTCTCTGTCTCTCTCTCTCTGTCTGACGAGTGCACGCACCCTATAGCAAAAACCTATAAAAAAAAAAAAAACTTCTAGGAAGCCCTCCTAAACCCCAGAAAGTGGTTTTAGTGCTACTTTTGTCTTCTGTTTGTTATGTTTTCAATCTGTTAATGGTGTCATTCTTCAAGGTATTTTCTTTTTTCTCAGTAAAGAGGAATTGTTTGGTTTAGTTGGACAAGAAAATTAATGTATTTAACTCAAGAACCTGTTATATTTAAACATTCTTAACTCAGTGAGTTCACCTGGACAAGAAAAAAATGTACAGGGTCTATTTCTAGTATGTGATGGAACCTCTCAATATATAGCTCATAATTTTCAAAAAATAATGTCTATATTTTATATTTTTTAGATATCCCACGAATAAATGGATTAAACTGGGTACTTTCCATGGTAGAGATGAGAGAAATGTCCAGAGTTTCCCTTTAGATGAGCAGATGTATGCAAAATATGTGAAGGTAATGTTTACATTTACAAGACTATGTAATATAATGAAACATGCCTAGTATTTACACTTTATACACTACATGCATTTAGAAACTAGAAGAAGAAGAAATGTATTACATTGGGTCATGGGAAAAGTCATGCTGTGTTTTTCTTTGTAAAATGCCTTATGACTTTTACAACGACCTAGTAGTATGCCATTTGATAAAATAGTTCTTATTGAGATATATTATTTCATGAGAAATAATACTATATTCCCTTTTGTATTACTGGACACCTACATCTGTATTTTGTCATTTCTGGCTCTGATAAAATTCCAAATTATAACTCTTCATTATTTTTTAGTCTATATGTAAAATGACATCTTTATTATATTTCTTTCTATCTTGAATTCCAAATTACTGCTAGTCAAGCAGGTCTGATTTCTTATTAGATTCTAATTCTTGGATCATTTCAGTTTTAATATCCAGTTATTTGGCATTATTTTTACTTTTGCCTTTTCTATGGAATATTCAAATGAAATATTCTGTGCAAAATACAGTAAGCTTTAAAAATCAATAAACTTTTAAACACTTACATTTAGTATTTGTGCTACTTCCTCCACCAACTGGTCAAGTGGAATTACTCTAAAATTAAGACAAAAGAGGGGAAGTTGCTACTCCTCTGCTTTCTGCCCTTTCCTTCTTTAAGAGAATAGCCATACCTTAAAGTCCATTGTGTTAGTAATATGACCTTTGGGAATGGCAGCAATTCTCATGCCTGTCTTTTCTTTAAATGTGAGAACTTACCTCTATCTAATTTTTTCTTCTGGGATTTACCATCTCTTAAAGCATGTTAAATCAACTTCTCTAAATGGGTAAACTTGTAGTATTCCTTGTCTCAACATAAAAAAATCTGTTTTGAAAATACAGTGATGGGACCAGCAGATTGCATAATGGTTACATCTCTGGACTCCCAGATAGTTGACTGTGGTTCCAGTCCCAGACCCAGTGACTTAAAACCAGGCATGGGTGTATGCGCGCCCAAAATCTTGAGAAGAGAATAGAGGAGAAGGGATTGCGGTGTGGCTATCCCCCCTGGGGATGGATTTCTCGCTGTCTCTCTGTTTCTTTCTGGCAAGTACACGTGCCCTATAGCAAAAATCTCTCTCTTTACAAAAAAGGAAAGAAAAAGAAATACAGTTGATATTCTCAGCTAATGATTCAACGGAGTTCAGAAAAGTGAGGGAATGTCTTCAGTTGCTATAAAAGTGAATGCTTAGACAATTATTTAGTGACATTTATTGTAGCATACTTTCTATCCTATGAGGAAGAAAAAATGTTAAAATTATTTGCCAATGATGCAGTGATATTTAATTTCGTAAGTGAAAAAACCTCACATTATGAATAGTTTTGAAGATATCCTTTGTGCCATCTACTTTGTTTAAAATGGAAGAGTATTTTATTGAAAACCCAGTTAGGTAGAATTCAGTCTAAAAGCAAAAACGTGACTCATATTTTATAGTGATAAATGTTATATAAGTTTACTTGGGTTTTTCTGATTCTTAAAGCATTAAATCCAAATTACAAATTACAAGTATAGTTTTACAATATACTAATTAATCTTTTTATTAGTGTTATTAATATATATGTACATAACATACAAAGATCTTCAAAAAGTTCATGGAAAATGCATATTTTGAGAAAACTTTGTATAAAAGTAAACTTGTATTTTAATTCATTTTCCCATAATGTTTTTAACTCTCAAATGTATTCCACATGTATATCAATTTGTAAACTTAGATATATTCTTTATACACGTTTCTAACATTTAAAGTAATATAAAATATAGGCTGTTTACTAATTAGTTTTACAATGCATTTCATTTCTTTTTTTAAAAGAATTATTTTATTAAACTTTGTTTATTTTTTAATTTATTTTTAATTTGACCAGAGAGGGACAGAGTACGAGAAAAAGAGAGAGGGAAAGTGAGAAAGTAAGCCACCAGGTCCAGGACTTGAACCATGGTCGGCCATGTGGGAGTCCAGTGCCCTTAACGTCCATGCTACTTGCTGGCCCCACAATGCATTTCATTTCTAACAAATAATATAACAACAGTGAATTTTAGGTTATTTTAAAATCTTAATAACATGAAAGTAATTTATTTTATTACTTTCTAGTTGTGATTAGAAGTATTTAAATTGCTTTGATTTCTGCAAAGAATAAGAGTACTACAACGTTATCCATCGTAGTACATTGCTTCCCACACTTTAATTACGCAGATAACTTACAGATGTTCAAGAGTTGCTTATGGCATGTTATCTAGACTTTGGAACTGATTTCTGTTTCTTCTCCTTTCTCTTGCTTCAGATGTTCATCAAGTACATAAAGGTTAGCAACCTTCTCTTTTGCAATATCGGATAACAGAGAATGGCATAGTAAATATTGCATAAAAACAAACTTTTACAAGTATCGATTTTGGGGGAGATGAAGACTTTATTTTGAGAAATTATACGGTGAACAACTGAGTACATTGTTAAATGGTCTCACATACACTCTGCTGGTTTCCCATTTTATGTGCTTTTATTCTTCAGGTGGAGTTGGTATCACATTTTGGATCTGAGCATTTTTGTCCATTAAGCCTTATAAGGTAATACAGAACAGATAAATTTACTGAGTGCTTTTTATAAGCGATATGCAAAAGTTTCAATATATATAAAGTGAATAAATAATTTTCTCTAATGTGAAAGTGACACTATACCTTTTCAAGAAAGATTTACAGTGTCACAATACCTTCTGGTAAAAATAAACTTTGAATTTGTTCAGCTTGCTCGTTCTTCTGCTATGATGATAATATATGGAACATTTTACACCTTTAGAAAAACTTGCTCAGTATGTGCTCAGTATATTTCTAAATACCTTAAATAGTTTAACATTTTAATGAAAACAATAGATGGCTACAATGTAAGAAATAACCATTATTTTGGAGTCCAAAGCCAGTAGTTCTCAAAACATGATCAGGATGGATAATGATTATTTATTTTGCAGAAGCAAGCCTTAACTTGGTTCTGAAAGACATTAATGAACTTTTTGTTAATAGGGTATTTGGTACTAGCATGGTAGAAGAATATGAAGAAATTGCCGATTCCCAGTATCATTCAGAACGTCAAGAACTATTTGATGAGGACTATGGTACGTTGCTTTAAATAGGTGGCCATTTCATATATGGTTTTTAAAATCTAATAGAGTAAGTAGAGATTACTTAAATCAATATGACTTTGTCTTTAGTCTTTCATTTATTTTATTGTTTTTAACCCTAGTAACCAATTTTTTCTTAAACTTATTTTTTATTATGATTGCTTTGTAAATTGTATTGTTTGAAGTTTATCAGTTATTTGTAACTAGAACTCCTTTCTATAATATGATTGCTATATTAAACACTTGAATAAAAGTCTTTTTTTTTGGAGAGGTTTTTGCTATAGGGCGCATGCGCTTGCCAGAGAGACAGAAAGCGAGAAATCACCCCGAGAAATCAACCCCCCAGGGGGGATAGTCACGCCGCAATCCCTTCTCCATTCTCTTCTTGGGATCTTGGGCACGCACTCACACACGCCTGGTGTGAGTTTTAAGCTACCGGGTCCGGGACGCAAACCACGGTCAACTCTGTGGGAGTCCAGCGACATAGCCATTACGCTAACTGCTGGTTCCAGATGAAAGTCTTAAAAATGTGGTTACAATTGTGATAAACGTTACTGTTATTTTCCTTGGTTTATATCTGTTTGATAAATGACTATGAATCTCACTTTCGGTTTATGAACGTATTTTAGGTGTACAATTCATATTTAATATAAAGATGTTTTAATATCAGCTGACTTTGACAACCTTGTAATTTAAGCTTTTAAACATGATATTATTGAACCTAATTTTCAGCATCGTTACTTTTATGTGCTCTGTAACAGATTATCCACTGGATTATACTACTGGAGAGGATAAGTCCTCAAAAAATCTTCTTGGTTCTGCTACAAGTGAGTATTTTGGGGTCTTCCTATTCACGTTATAAAAGTGGTTCTTGACTTCTTCATACTGACATATGAGCATTTTGTTGTGGTATAATTTAGGAAGCTTCTCTCAGTGTTGATATTTCAGTTGAAATCAAAGGTACTGACTTTTGACAAATATTTCTATGGAAATGAAGTTAGAAGAGTGGATGGAAAGAAAGAAAAATGCAAGCATAATAAGAAAGTGTTTCTTTTATTCTAAGCACTTACATATTGTGGCTGATTTCTTCTAGTGAAGAATTACTTAGGTAAAGAATTATGAAAGAGGTCATGCAACAGGCCCATGTGTGGAGGCACAGTGGTAGTGCAGTGACCTGCAAAGCTGGTCACTGGAAGCCATAGGGAAGATTGGAGTGCCCATAGTTCTGGTTGGATATGAAAGGCTGGGCAAAGATCAGGCATCTAATTAAATTGCTTTTCTCTCTCTCAATAAGTAAAAAAAAAAAAAAAAAATGTAAATAAATCCTAAAAACTAATGAGATAGAAATCTTAAAAAAAAAAAAAAAAAGAGGTCATGTGTCTATGAAATCCTTCCAAATAAGGATTTATTAATCTGTGGATGTGGTTAGTTTCCTATTTAATGACAACATATAAAGGCTATTCTCTTCTGTAAAAATAAAGAGTACAATAATATTAATAATATGTATGTACTCTTTGTAAACTAGAGAAACAATGACCAAGATATCTAGGAATTTAGTTTCTTGTCATTCCAAAGTAGTAACTGACCTAGTGGTAGGCTGGCTAGAAAGACTGTTACCCAACCAGCACTATATTTTTAGTGTTAGAATGTGGTTAGGTATATTTTAATGTTATTTTTCATTTTTGCTGAAGAATGTAAAACTTACTAGGGGGAGTTGTTTTTATTTGGAAATTATTAATTGAGTTGGATAAAAATAAATCTTAGAAAAAAGGAGACTAGCTGTTTGTGCCTTTCTTGTTGCTCTTAGAATTGTTTGACTACAGTCTTAGTATTAACACTGACTATAGGTTTTTGAGATAGTCAACCACTAGTACATATACTAAAGTAGATATTTTGTATGGCCACAGTGTATGGAGTTAAGAGCCATCTCTCGTTACTTTCATTTTCGTTCCTTTTCTTCCTCTTTTCCCCTAAAGAGAGGAATATGGACTTCAGTGGACTTTTTAAGGGATGAGATAGAAAGTGTTAAAAAAAATACCTACAGAAGGAGAATTCTTTTATGAAATATTCAATTTTGTTATAGGTCAATTCAATATAGCAAGGTTTCTGACTTTTTAGATTTCAGTGAGATTGCTTATAAATAGAATTCCTGACTATTTAATTGATGATGATATGAAAATAGGTGTCTTATTCTCTTCTATGGGATATAGGATTTTAGGAGTGAAAGAAATGATGCCATTTTATCTGTCTGAATATGAATATTGATGTTTTCTTACATTTGTATTAATTCTGCATGTTACATAGTAGTAATTATTCTGCCTCCTATGTAGCTCAGTAATGCTGAAGTAGTTCTGAGGAAGCATTGTTTATTTTATGGGATCAGAAAATAACCCCAGACTGAAAAATCTCTACCTTCTGAGGGGTAATAGAAAAAGGCACCTTAGAGAAGTAGTTTTCCTTCTTTATTTTAAAATTTTTTCTTCCCTTTATTCATGATACAGTATATGCACAAGTGAGAGAGAGAGAGAGAGGTAGCTAGATGAGCACTCTCCACAGGTTCTGGTCATTCCAGGATCCCTCTCCTCCAGCCTGTCAAATCTTGGGTACTTACTTGCATTCCTGGTGTATCAGATTGACCAGGCCACGATTCAGTTCAGAGTTGCCAAGTAGGGTCTAGCTTCTCTTGATCGGTGCTCACTGCTATACTGCAGAGCCAGGCCTGGTACCACAGTTTTACATAAAGGGAGAAACCCTGTTGACATTTAAGGTTTTTCTATATCTTCTATGAGATTAACTCCTAGACCCTATTAAAATCTAGCTGTATGTCAGTAGAGAACATTTCCTTGTTTATAATTGCTTCTCAGACCAATTTATTATTTTATTTGCCGGAGGGTACATACATTCACCCAAGAGAGAGCAAGAGGGAGAAAGCATCCTTCCAGTTAAGATTGTTCGGAATAGATTATTCTCAATGCTGGAATATAGAACAAAACAAACTATGTCGGTGTTCTGTGATCATAGGAAGATGATTTCTTTTAGGTTATATGGGCTGAGAAAGACATCTGCACAATTTTGCTTTTGTTACCAAGTGATATCCTGAAATGATGATAAATAGTATTTTTCTAAAAGAATTATTTTATTCAACTTTATTTATCTCAATTTGACCCCAGAGAGACAGAATGAGAGAGGGAAAGTGAGAAAGCAAGCCACCAGGTCCAGGACTCGAACAACAGTAGGCCATGTGGGAGTCAAGCGCCCTTAACCACCATGCCACCTGCCAGCCCCAATAAATAGTATTTTTAAAGGATGGGTAGTATGAATCTTCCTTATAGGTACTTGTATTAAAACTTAGGTTCAGAAATAATATTCATAAGCTAATTTCTTTATAGACATACAGACATTCTTTTCTTGAATAATAAATGTCATATAATTTGAAATCTGAGGTAAGATCTCACTTTGAAGCACAAGTGAGGACAGACTTGATTCCATAGTAGGTTTTGTGAAGCATTTGGCTCTGACTGTACTTTAGGTGACAGCCTAAGTAGAGGATGGTATCCAGTAAGGCAGTATTGATCAGCCTTAAAAGGAGGCTTATGAGGAGATAAGTTTCCATTTCTAATTTTATCTTGGTTTATGAAGAAGTATGGAGTTTCCATTCCTGTCATCACCTCATGCTGAGACATCTCTTTGGCCTGAATAAGAATCAGGTCACTTCTCTGTTCATCTTTTTGCTTAATCAAAGAGCAAGACATTCAGAAATGTCATTTAAACATTTTAGGTGACAAATACCAAGCTTTTGTGTTATACTGTTGAGTGGAAACAAAGTAGTGCTACTTTGTCTTACAGATTGTATAATCATCAGTATAGGAAAGTGAAAATTACTGTAACTGTCTACAGGCAGTTGCCATTAAAGCAGCCTAAAATTATCTGCTGCTTTGTGTCACCCTAAAGCATATTCACAGGATCAACTCTTTGGGACAGTACTTGGTTCCCAGCCTGCTTGATGTGCCAGATTTTCCTCCCTTAGATCCTTTTGTACTTTGCACGTCTATGGTTTTCATGGAAAGTGTGATGAAAACCCTTTGGATCTCTTTTAGGGAAGGGCACTAAGATGGAAATAACCTATAAGGCTTACTATATAGCCCTTGCCAGATCTTAGTATTTTAAAAGGAGGAATACCTGATACTAAAGAAAAACTTCTAGTGGAATTCAAAGATTGGTTTGGGGATGGAAGTTAATTTCCCTTGAAATTATATCACATTATTGGAAGGACGCCTCCCTGATCCCAGCACCAACTTTTCTTGGAGTTGTGCTATTTTGTATTCCTCATGTATAAATATCTCTGTTTCTATAGATAGTGAGGTTTGTACAACTTCCACTCATCGTCTAGTTGTCCTCTTTGAAAAGAGAGACAGGTTAGCATCGTGCAGCTTCTCAACCTGTAACACAGAGTTTTATAGTTTCAACTTAATGAATCTGCCTCATACCTATTCCCACTCAACTCACAAAAGAATTTATGTGCTTTATATTCTACAGAACATTGTTATTTTGGCCAGTGAGTTTTTAAAAGTCAAAGATGACTGATTTCTATGCAGTTTCATTTTGGAATCTAACCATATTACCACTAGATTATATGCTAGTAGTTGAAAATAAAAATTTTCTGCTTTTCTTTGGATAATAATTATTCTGTTTTGTTTATTTCTTCCTATAACAATCACCCTTTTAAGGAAAGACTTTTATTTTTTCAAGCTTTCTTTTATATTTGTAACTGTTTTAAACTATAGAACCTTTTAAAAGACAGCCTTTTCTGTAAAATACGAATTTTGGTTATCATATTTCTTTCCTGTCCTAGTATAGTCTATATACTGAGTTTTATATATATATATTTTTTTTTTCATACTGAAGACAGAGTTTGGTAAAAGATATGGGGAAGCTTTGCAAAAAAATAAATAAAAAGTATATTAAATTTAAAAATCCTTCTGAACAAGACTCAGATTTATGCTTTACACTTTTGGTTCAAATATATTTGTGTCCTATATTGGACTTTAATACTAAGGTGAATAAAAAGTAACTAGTAAAAAAAAGAAATGAGTCCTTTCCTATTGCAAAAAACCGCTATAAGTGGTTTTTTGACTGATATTTTATTTAGAATATTTAGGTGTTTTGGTATTTTTTTCTGATTGAATTTTGTTTTAGATGCCATTCTAAATATGGTGAATATTGCTGCTAATATTCTGGGAGCAAAAACTGAAGACCTGACAGAAGGTACCTAATCATTTTATGGGTCTTTTACATAGCTGGTACTCCAGGGGTCCTTCTTGTTAGGAAAATCAAATAATAAGCCAAGAAAATTTGATTTTTTTCATTTAGAAATATAGAAATGAACCAAAGGAACTTACTAATCTTTTGTTATTTATTGCTTACTTGAATTTCACAAGTTCATTTTTATAAAATGATCTTGTCTATATAAAATTCATAAATTTGATTTTTGGCTAATAACTTTTTAGATGTTTAGAAGTCTTTTTAATTATATAAGATTACACAAAATTCATAGTCATCTGACTTGCTTCAATCATCTGAAAAGTCGAGATAACACATATCCCTTGTAGTTGTGATCTTGTCAGGATCACTTCTTTCTAAAAGAACGCTGATTTTTTTTTTTAAGTCTGCAATAGCAGACCTATTTGACTTTTATCTTCTCTCTGAGATATTTAAAGTTCTTCATTTTTTACAGTAGAATATTTTCATGATACAGCTTTTAAAAATTGAACTCAATATGGCCATCTTTCTTAAAATAGGAAATAAAAGTATATCCGAGAATGCCACTGCCACAACTGCACCTAAAATTCCTGAATCAACTCCTGTTTCAACTCCTGTTCCATCACCTGAGTAAGTTGTACCATGATATTAAGTAGAACTCTATAAAAATGGAGAGCTAAGTATACTAGTACAAAAAAAGGAGCTTGTGATTTGTACATGAAGTGATTATCCATAGAGAGCTCTGAGTCGTAGCTTCTTCCTGTTAGAGTATATGTATGCGGAAGGCACTTCATTCTAGACCAAACATTTGGTGTTTTGATACTATATATTTACTTGATTGTTCACAGCACTGAGTCCTTTCCTATTGCAAATAATTGACCTGACTGTGCAGGTCACATGCAGTTGAAAACATACAAATTTTAAAGGCCAATTGTTACTAAGCTCAAGTTTAAAAGTATTGATTATGTATCTGAGGTATCCTAAGAAAGTTACAAAGTGTACTCAAAATGCCTAGAGCAATGGTTCTTGAATTATATGTTTGTCATACAGCAAACTCTTACAGTGTTCCATTTCTCAGGTTGGATTATGTAAGTCTTTTTCCAGACTGCAGGGGAGCTGCTTTGGACAGCTATGTGTGTACATGTGCATGCACTTGTGTAGACACATGTATATAATAAAAAATAACCTCATGTTTTTGTCTCTTCTATCAAAGATGGAGTCCATGTTGTGGGTATCTCCACTTCTTATCTATAATAGATAGTAAGAGCTTAATGATTTGGGTAATTGGGCATAGTCATAATAGATTTCAGTTATGTGTATTTCCTTAGATATTTTCCCTATAAAACTTTGAAATTCTTTTTTCTCAGAACTCTACTTAATAGGATAAGCTATTTGAACATGAAACACTAAGTTAGTTTATAGTTAGACATGGCAGTGTATATGCTTTGAACCATAATTCCTAAGTGTCGTACTAATTCAAAAGTGAAATTTTTGTGCTTTGAAGGGCACAGTGAGAACTTGACATTCTCCTGTGTTAACCCTGAAAGTGCCTGAAGATATTTATTGGGTGGTTAGAGAGAAAATATAGTCTATGTGTTACTAATTTCTATAAAGACCTAAGAAAGCTCTTAAGGATAGAGACATTTTGATGTTTTTAATTACGTGGAACTGTAATTACTATTTTCCTGATTTTGTAACTAAGTTTCTTCAGTTGAGAACACATCTTATTTTTCAAAATAAATACTATTTTCATTATATATATATATTTTTTATTATATATATATAAATATATATATTTTTTCATTTTATATATATATATATATATATATATATAGGTATGTTCATACGCACATGTGAATATTTGTTGGATGATTTAACGATATCAGGCTAATGTATCAGTTTTTACTTTTTCATGTTTTAATAGATTTTTCCACAATGTTTTTACTTTATATTCATGTTTAGTTTTCTTAAATTCCTTTTAATGCTATATAGCAATAATTTGAAGGAAATAAAAGAAGAGGAAATAATTCATGACAGGCTCACTGTTAAAGTTACTACGTAAAGCTGATTTATTTTCTTTTTCCAGATTTGAGTTTGTGTTTTTCCAAGTATAACTTTGATTAGAGTATAGAAGGTATACATCTTAATTTCTGTCAAATTCAATTTGACTTTTTTCCTTTCTTCAGACATTGTTTTTATTTTCTAGCATAATTTATTTGGTAGATCATAAGGGATCTACCACCTGAGCATGTAAGAAATGTTACTCACGAGTCTCCCCTCATCTCATATATATATTCTTGGCTTTCTTAGTCATTTTTCAGAGTAGGAAAATTTGTTTACGAGGCTAACTCTTTTTGGTATTCAAGTTATGGTATTTTTTTCAAATTGACCCTTTGTGGTTTTAAGACTGTTTCCAGAATTTACCTTTATCTCAGATGGAACGATAGGCATTACAGTATGCAGCATTGCTTCCACCAGCCCCACTCCTTCCCTTCCTTAATCCATACACATAATTTAGAGCCCAAAGATGGCATAGAATTAGAGGCACCATTTATTATAAGCCAGGATTTTTATTAAGGAAGTTAAGTATTTCTTTTAATAACAGAAAATTAGCTTTGCTAAGATTATTTTGAGAAGGGATATATTTCTTTTCTCTAGTGTAGATAATCTTGTGTGTGTCTGTGTGTGTTTAATGCCATATTGGATTTATTTAAATCATCCAAAGAAAAATTATCTTTAAGAAACCTAACTAGCTACCTTTTAAAAAGAGGATATTCAAGCACACAGTGCATCCATAAATATTAAGAATCCTCTATTCTAGTTGTAGCTTTGGGACTTAGAGCCCTTGAGTAACTTAATTAAGGGGTGGTGAGGCTTATAAAGATTTGGTTAATATTTTGGGGAGGAGAAAGGTGCACCATACTTCAGTGAGCAGTATATAGGTATGTTCATACGCACATGTGAATATTTGTTGGATGATTTAACGATATCAGGCTAATGTATCAGTTTTTACTTTTTCATGTTTTAATAGATTTTTCCACAATGTTTTTACTTTATATTCATGTTTAGTTTTCTTAAATTCCTTTTAATGCTATATAGCAATAATTTGAAGGAAATAAAAGAAGAGGAAATAATTCATGACAGGCTCACTGTTAAAGTTACTACGTAAAGCTGATTTATTTTCTTTTTCCAGATTTGAGTTTGTGTTTTTCCAAGTATAACTTTGATTAGAGTATAGAAGGTATACATCTTAATTTCTGTCAAATTCAATTTGACTTTTTTCCTTTCTTCAGACATTGTTTTTATTTTCTAGCATAATTTATTTGGTAGATCATAAGGGATCTACCACCTGAGCATGTAAGAAATGTTACTCACGAGTCTCCCCTCATCTCATATATATATTCTTGGCTTTCTTAGTCATTTTTCAGAGTAGGAAAATTTGTTTACGAGGCTAACTCTTTTTGGTATTCAAGTTATGGTATTTTTTTCAAATTGACCCTTTGTGGTTTTAAGACTGTTTCCAGAATTTACCTTTATCTCAGATGGAACGATAGGCATTACAGTATGCAGCATTGCTTCCACCAGCCCCACTCCTTCCCTTCCTTAATCCATACACATAATTTAGAGCCCAAAGATGGCATAGAATTAGAGGCACCATTTATTATAAGCCAGGATTTTTATTAAGGAAGTTAAGTATTTCTTTTAATAACAGAAAATTAGCTTTGCTAAGATTATTTTGAGAAGGGATATATTTCTTTTCTCTAGTGTAGATAATCTTGTGTGTGTCTGTGTGTGTTTAATGCCATATTGGATTTATTTAAATCATCCAAAGAAAAATTATCTTTAAGAAACCTAACTAGCTACCTTTTAAAAAGAGGATATTCAAGCACACAGTGCATCCATAAATATTAAGAATCCTCTATTCTAGTTGTAGCTTTGGGACTTAGAGCCCTTGAGTAACTTAATTAAGGGGTGGTGAGGCTTATAAAGATTTGGTTAATATTTTGGGGAGGAGAAAGGTGCACCATACTTCAGTGAGCAGAAGTACTCACAAACATTCTTAAACAGAAATTAAAAGAGAGCAGGTTTGATATGGAAAATATGGTGATTTGAGTCATGTGGCTGGTCACTGGACCAGTGGTCTTTCTGTTATCATTTCTATGCAGTGTTTGTTTTTATAATGAAAATGTTTTATTTAAAGAAAGAAAATTCATCAAAAAGACTGATTTTTTTTCTAAATGTACAGCCTTTCTTTAGTTTTGTATATGATACATTTATTTTCTTTAAACATATTTTTAACTCTAGACTTCTACTTTATCTGTAATTGTGATCTATATTTTAGGGATGTAATCGCAAAGATACCTGACACAGAGCCATCAACACCAGATACTCCAAAAGACAGGCCCATTGTCCAGCTAGTTCAAGAAGAAGAGGAGGAGACAAGTCCATCTACCGTGACCCTGCTGGGCAGTGGTGAACAGGAGGATGAATCGTCACCCTGGTTTGAGTCAGAGACACAAATATTTTGTAGTGAACTCACCACTATTTGTTGTATTTCCAGCTTTTCGGAATACATATATAAATGGTGTTCAGTTACAGTCGCTCTTTATCGGCAGCGCAGCAGAACTGCTATGAAAAAGGGAAAAGATTATCGTGGGTCAACTCAAGAACCTTTACTGCTTCCTTCAGAGTCAGGAGATGTTTCAGTATTACGACCTCTGAGTGAAGAATTGGACAATAAGAATATGGAAAGGGAAGCTGAAAGTGTTGTTCTTAGTGACTTAAGCAGTGTGCACCAAGTTGACTTGATGAATCACACTGTGGATGTAATTGAACTTGAACCAAGCCATTCTCAAACACTTTTTCAGTCTCTTCTCTTAGAGATTACTCCAGAAATCAGTTCATTCTCTAAAATGGAGGTATCTGAGTCTGTTAAACATGAAGCAGGACATACACCAACACACGTGATTCCCCAAGAAAGTTCTGTTGAGACTGTTAATCAAACAGAAAAAAAGTCTGAGAGCTCTAGTTCTATAGAGAAACCTTCTGTTGTCTATGAAACAAGTAAAGTTAATGAGGTAACAGATAATGTTGCAAAAGAAGACATGAATTCCATGCAAATTATTACAAAACTATCTGAAACGATAGTGCCACCTATAAACACAGCCACTGTGCCAGACAATGAAGATGGGGAAGCCAAAACGAACATAGCTGATATACCAAAGCAAATTTCAACTCCTGCTGTGGATTCTTCTTCATTACCTGAAGTGAGAGAGGAAGAGCAGTCTCCAGAAGATGCCCTTTTAAGAGGGTTACAGAGGACAGCAACAGATTTTTATGCTGAATTGCAAAATTCTACTGAACTAGGTTATGCTAATGGAAATCTTGTGCATGGATCAAACCAAAAGGAGTCAGTATTTATGAGACTTAATAATCGTATTAAAGCCTTAGAAGTAAACATGTCTCTCAGTGGTCGCTATCTGGAGGAGCTCAGTCAAAGGTAAGATTTATTATGATACCACAGTCCACAGGGCGAATTAAGCTGCAGAATATGATCTGTGATTGCAAAATGAGAGGATTTACTTATCTCATCATACAGCATAATTTTAGCTGGAGAGAGAAAGAAAGCTACTTGGACACTGGTCAATGAGTTAGAGAATTGATTTTGTTCTAAGCTTTAGAAGGGCCTACTCATTGACACATGCTTTTACTATTATGCTGGTAATGAGTTTGACTTATCTATAGTCACTTTCCTCCTTCCTTCTGTTGTGTAACTTTAACACTTTTACTATTTGATTCCCAGAGGGCTCATAGGAAAGGTTATAGTATATAGGCCTTCAAGTTCTTAATGGAACTTGACCAGATATCACTTAAAAGTTTAAATAATTGATGACAGGAGTGGATGGAAGTGGATGATTAGGTAGCATTAGCAGTTTGCAGGCTTTCTGGCAATCCTAGTTCTAGTTGTAGTAATACATGCTCTTGTGCCTCTAAGTGCCAGAAACAGTGCCAGTGCATTTATCCAGTAATTGAGACCCCAGGCACGGCTACATTATAAAAAACTACTTAGGCTGTTTTTTAAAATCCCTTTCATGTCCATGTATGTCCTTAGCCCCTCCCCCCCATTTTCTAATCACTTAAGCTCCAGGTGTCTAGAGTTTTTGAAATACCATCTTTTTTTACTCCTAAATTGAAGTCTCATTTATGTGATAGAGCACTAAGGTAGTCATTATGTCCTAAAGATGTGTTTCTTCCTAATTCATACATACAATTTTTGGCCAGTTTGTGTGTGTGTGTGTGTGTGTGTGCACGTGTGTGTACCCACATGTTCACTTAGCTAACTCTTAACCTACCCTTGCCTTTTCCCCAGCCCCATCTGCACACCAGTGCCACCTCAGAAATCACTAAATTATATGTGTAGCAATGAATTATGTAGAATTGATGTTGAAATAGCAATACTTACGGGGACTTTTTAGTTTTTTGCTACAGGGTGCATGTGCTCATCAGAGAGAAAGAGAAAGCACCCCCTGAGAGGCATGACCATGTTCCATTCCTTTCTGCATTCTCCTCTCGGGATTTTGGGCACACATGCACACATACCCAGCGTGATTTTTCAGGCCACTGGGTCCAGGACACAGCCATGTGGGATCCATCCATCTTTTTTCTTTTCTTTATTTTTTTTTTCTTTAGAGGTTTTTGCTATAAGGCATGTGTGCTCGCCAGAAAGAAGACAGAGAGACAGAAAGTGAGAAATGACCTCCCAGGGGGGGTGGCCCCATCACAATCCCTTCTCCTCCATTATCCTCCCAGGATCTTGGGCATGCATGCACACGCACCTGTTGTGAATTTAAGCCACCGGGTCTGGGACTCGAACTGCGGTCGACTACATGGGAGTTCAGCGACATAGCCATTATGCTAACTGCTGGTCCCAAGGAATCCATCCATCTTAATGACTTCGCCACCAGCTGCCCCACGGCTTTTTAATTATACCTTTGCAAGTGTTCTGCTGCATAGGCCTAAGTAAAAGTCATCATAAGAAAAGTGAATTTATCACATGTATCAAAATGAGAAGAGTATTTCTCATAGTAAGTGAATAAATGAAAAATTAAAGCTAATTTTAACCAATTTTTACTCCGTAGGTACCGAAAACAAATGGAAGAAATGCAAAAGGCTTTCAATAAAACGATTATAAAACTTCAGAATACTTCACGAATTGCAGAGGAGCAGGTTGGTCATCTTCATCTCTTTTTTTAATATAAATTTTAATTAAATTTTATAGACTCTCACTGGTAAAAATATAAGTGATGTTGGTTCATGCTTCCCCCTAATGATTAACTGTATCATACATAGTCATGTGTGGAGAGTTATCTACCTATTAGCCTCATTATCTCCTCTAGAGAAAATTTTCTTTAGCAGTATTCATATTACGTTGTGTGTGTGTGTGTGTGTGTGTGTAAGGGGATTTTCCTACAACTCTGTTAAACTCTAAAGTCTCCTGTGATTTTATACATAATCTTACTGCTTACAAATAAAAATAGCTTTATTTCTTCCTTTTGATTCTCATACTTTTTTATTTTATTTTTTTCTCTTCTTTCTTGACTAGAGCTAAATAGTGATGGAATAGGACTGGTGATAGTGGTCCTCCCTCTTTCTTGTTAATTTTCAGGGAGCAATATCAGTAGTGTATCTTTAAGTGGGATATGTGTGTTTCCCAGAAAAGGAATTTTATTCTTAGCTTTTCTGAAAGTTATGTGGTACAAGGGGAAAGTGAAGTGAAGAGAACTCAGATTGCAGAGAATTTAGTTAATTGCCACTTACTCTCTATTAATGGCATGTTATAATTGTGGTTCCTCCCTTAGTGGTTTTTCTATTATTGAGGTTAGACAGTTCTTTATATATTCAGAATAGGAGTCCCTTATTAGAAATATGGTTTGCAAGTATTTTTTGACAATTACTTGTTTTCTCATACTCTTTACAGTGTGGTTTGAAGGGAAGTTTTAGATTTGTTGAATCCCAATACATTTTTCTTTTCATTCTGTGATATCTTTGCCTAGTGTAGCTACAAAGATTATTTTCATATATTTTCTTCTAGAAATTTTACAGTTTAGTTTTACATTAGGTTTATAACTCATTGTGAGTTAATTTTTATGTGTTGCAAGATATGGATTAAAGTTATCTCAGGGAAGGGAAAGTCATGAATATCTATTTGTTCCAGCATCATTTGTTGAAAAGACTGTCTTTTCTCCACTAAATTTCCTTTACACTTTTTCTGAATTCACTTGACTATATAAATGCGGGTCTTTTTCTGTGCTTCTTTTTTATTTATCTATTTGTCTTTTTATTTTGTTTATTTATTTGTAGAAAAATGGGTCTTGCCATGTCCCACGATTGTGGGAAAATTCATGACACATTTTTGCATAGAAAAAAAACGTCCTGACTTTTCTGATAACCCAATATTTTGCCTATACCAGCCTTAAGCTCATAATTCTCCTGCCTCAGCCTCCCAGAGTTACTAGTATTATAGGCATGTGCCACCATGCCTGTTTGGGAATCTAACGCAAGCCTCTGTGGTCCCAGCCTATGGAGCAATGTGTCAGTAGTGTGCGCCACTGAGACGGGTCCTCTCTTTGTCTATCCTTGTGCTAATTTCACAATGTTGGCAGTTACTGTATAGTAACCCTGCAGGCAGTGTTAAGTCCTTCAACTTTGTTCTTTTCCAGTATTGTTTTGGCTACTAGATTTTTTTGCCTCTCCATATGTGTTTACAATCATCATGTCGGTATCTACCCCCCAAGAAAAACAACAGCAAAAAAACCCTGTTTGAATTTTGATATAGGGATTTGGTTGAATTTATAGATCATTTTGGAGAATTGACATAACAATGCTAAGCCTTTGATGTAAGAACGCAATATTCATTTAGGTTCTCATTAATTTTGAAATTATTTTCCCCCTCTGTATTTTCTGTTTAAAATGTAACAATATGTCTAAGACACGTAAAAATACTTTTAGCAATCTTGTATATTAGCACCACTGGAAGTAATTTTTGATTAGAGGTGTAATAAGTTAGTAAATTTAAGTTTGTCCATTGACTGTTTGTAACCTCAAATTTATCAATGTCAGATATGCCTCAGGATTTAAAGGAAAGAATTTATTGAATCACGTTTAACATTTTAAAAAGATAAAATAGAATAGAATGTATGGTGGATTACAGTAAGGAAGTGAATCAATAAAGTCTTTTCTTGTGTTAAATTTTATAAATTCTTCCATTCCCCACACACATACACAGCTGAAACTTAAAAGTTTTCCATCTAAATTTTAAAAACCTAGGTCTAAAAAAAATGGTTATGTACATCGTACCCTTAAAACATTTTAGGTTTTTTTACTTCTTGTCCTTTTTCTTTCCTGAAATTTATCAAATTTTTAGTACAGTCAATTTAATATAGGTTCTTATCTTCCAAGTCTAGTACAATTTCCTAAAATATTAATGCAAGTGATATTTTAAATAAAGACATGTTGATTATAATTTTTTGAATGCAGAACTGTCTCAAAAATGAAAATACAGGTATATTTGATTAATTTAATTTCATTGGCAATATAACAAAGATTAGATAACCTGTTGTAGTCATTTGACTATTTGACATCCCTAAGTTCCATTGTAATATTCTATTAAAGAGAAAATTTGAAACGTTTTTGGTATGGAGCCTATTTTATATCCAAAACATTCTCTTTTTTTTTTTTCTTTTTTTTTTGAGAGGTTTTTGCCATAGGGTGCGTGCGCTCACCAGAAAGACAGAGAGACAGAAAGCGAGAAATCACCCCCCAGGGGGGACGGCCATGCCACAATCCCCTCTCCTCCATTCTCCTCTAGGGATCTTGGGCACAATCGCACACGCAACCGGCGTGAGTTTTAAGCCACCGGGTCTGGGACGCGAACCACGGTCGACTATGTGGGAGTCCAGTGACACAGCCATTACGCTAACTGCTGGTCCCAAAACATTCTTCAAAATAAATTTTAGCATATCTTTGTGCTTACTGCTCTGCTTTATAAACATTTATTTGACAATGATTGTAGTTGTATAGAGCTGGTTATGTCTTGAATTACACACATGGAGACCATATTTAAAAAGTAATTTAACGGGGGAACCAGCAGTTAGCGTAATGGCTATGTCGCTGGACTCCCATGTAGTCGACCGTGGTTCGTGTCCCGGACCCG